GGGGGGGGGGGGGGGAGATGTCTTCACTAGTCGTCCCACTCGTCGTCGTCTTCGAAGTCGTCGACTTCGTCGTCATCCTCGTCTTCGTCTGAGAAAAGGACACACGTTTAAAATTTTAAGTGTTTGCTGCCGAGATTTAGAAGAGAAGATGGATACCAATCTCATGTCCGGTTAGCTTAGCACAAAGACTGGAAGCAGGGGGGGGGGGGGAAACAGCTAGCCTGGCTCCGTCAAAAAGATAACAAAATTCCCCCACAATCCATCTCGTTCAGTACTGACTAAGCCAGCAGCATTTAATGTGTACATGTGTGAGGTTAAGCTAAGAACCCTGGACGTCGCGATGGTGTCGGCAGAGTTACCTGAGGAATGGATGGCTTTGCTCCTTATCAGCATCACTTCCATGAGAGCGCCGACGATGCCCGCCGTGGGAGCAGACCCCGGCGGTCCGGACTCCGGAAGATCCGGCACCTGGAGACACACACAAACAGATCCGGTCCAGTTACTGCAGGTACAACCTGATGTTTCTCTGACCGTGTAAAGAAGTGATGCACCAGAACGTGGTCTTACGTTCTTGAGCTGGATTCCCTGTCGGATCTGGTCCAGCAGGGCGTCCCGTCCCACGCCGGAGGCCGGCGTTCGGTTGTTCTGCTCCACCTTCTTCAGCTGAGCTCCTCCTCTGATCTGCTCCAGCAGCGCCGACTTCCCGCCGGGGCTTGGCGAATTCGGGGAGTTTCCGCACCCGCTGATGCCGTCCAGCTCCGGAGGTGGAGGGGGGCCGGGAGGGGGAGGAGGAGGAGGAGGTGGTGGAGCGGGGGCGGAGCCGACAACTGGAGACTGCTGGGCCACCGGCGGAGGTGGAGGGGGCGGGGCTTGTGGGGAGATCGAGGCGTGCAGGCAAGACAGAGGAGGAAGAGGAGGAGGCTGGTGGTGGTGGTGATGGTGGGGGGGAGGAGGAGGAGGAGGAGGGGGCTGGTGACCTCCCCTAGTGGGAGGAGGTGGAGGAGGTGGGGCACCCAGAGTTCCCGGTCTGGACGGAGGCGGAGGGGGAGGCGCTGAGGCGGGGGCTCTGGACGGAGGAGGGGGAGGCGGGGCTCCGCGTCCTCCTCTGGACGGGGGAGGAGGAGGAACAGGGGGAGCAGCCGAGTTGTGTGGTGGTGGAGGAGGTGGAGGAGGACCGCCACGAGAAGGAGGTGGAGGGGGTGCTGCAGGGCGGGGGGGGGGACGACAAAATGACACGATATCTTTAGGCAAACAGTTCCCAAACCCTGCTTCTAAAATGTGCGGATCTGATGCTTTTTAAAGGAAACTGAATGGATCTGTTTTTGAAATGTTGGGCGAACAAAAGAAGTTTGAATTAGTTAACCGAGGCTTTATGAGACGTTGTGACCGACACTTTTCACTACTTTATAATGTTTTAAAAACTAAATAATTGATTGAATTATCTAGACATTAATGGATAATGAAACTAATTGCAAGTTGCAGCACGAAACTGCATTATGAAAATAAAGCCACTTCTGTACTAGAAAAACATCACACACACACACACACACACACACACACACACACACACACACACACACACACACACCTTTAGATTCAGATCACTCTCTGCTTTCACACCAGCAGAGGTTAACATGAATAAAACATGCAGAAGAAGAAGAGTCTGTCACGAAGAATAAAACTGACAGAGAAAAACGTTTCATCGGCATTTCAACTCGACTGTCTGACGGAAAAATACAAAATACAGGAAGACGGACGGAAGAGATCCTTCAGGATGAAAACCGTGAGACGAATTTAAATCAGTTCATAAAAAATAATGAAAAGTTATTTTGTTTTCCATTTCAAAAGATGGTGAAGCTCTCAATTCATTCAGTAAATCTGTGACACCTGCAGTAACAATAGTGCACAACAAGATTCCATATCTATTGTATCGAATAATAAGAAAGAATAAATCCTTTACAGACGCTTTAATATGCAACTTTAAATACTTTATACGTATTCTTATGCAAGGCTTTACTGTCCCATGAGAGTTTAAACAAATGGAAACAGTACTTGCAACAGTGCCAATTCAAAC